CCAAATTAAAGAAGGTGACGCTGCCCCTCCACTTCATAGCCAAGTTAACTCGAATAGGGTGTTCGAGCAAAACATGTGTTTTCCATCTATCCGACAATAAAAATAATTTCAGTTGCGAATATTAACATAGCGTCCAATAAACCTATAGAGATACGAGGACGATAATCGTTGGATCATAATCTGGTATTAAATAAAAAACACTTAACTATCAACTACATGCAGTAACTGCGAAAACAAACCGTAATAACAAATATGATATCCTTCGTTTCATATGTAAATGACTTAACTTATCCCGAAACCAACAGTTATTCTAGCAATTACTCAGGCATCAATCAAATAAATCCGCGGAAATTACTCCACATAAACCTGAACACAAAGATGATTGAGCATACAACTATATGGTGGTGATTAGCCTCTTATCACCAGCCCCGCCTATGTACCTCAATATGGTAACTACTGCAATACAATTTTCGACAAAATTGAAAGGTTTGCTGTCTGTGCACCTTCCTCCCACTAAGCCTTATCCATAATTCAGATATCAGTCCATATTTCCCTCACTGGCCAAACCTCTCGCACTTGAAGCTAATGTTTATAGGATTGGCTGTCTATCGAATAGGCCGTCACCAACTCTACCTCTGTCAAATAAAGCCTCCCCAGATTTCATGCTTGACCTCCAAAATTTTCCACGTGCATCATTAGTCCCCCTGCTCTTACGCTATTTTTTTAATATTTTGCTTTTACTGAACCTTAAGAGACTGTTTTTTAAATCTAAAACAAACTCCTGATTTCGCACGATTATCGACTAAGCACAAACCAAAAGCACGAAGTGCTGTGCGGTAATGACGAGTTTGTCCACGATTGCTTTCCTGGTTCGTTCCTGGTACCAATAAACCTATGTTGTAGTGGATATGGTGGATTGCGTGCAGCATGGACATCGTGCTTTGCGCAACTTTCAAACGAGGAGTACGCAGTTTTAAATACTTCATTTTCGGCACACGGGGTTCTGTACGAAGAGCAAGATTTCATAACGCTTCAACCAATTCTCCAGTCGATAAATGCTAATTTTTAAACACGTTGCTAGTACTATTTTGCAGTATAAATCATTCGCAAGTTTTTAATCATTCGTATTTTTTGTGGTTTTCTTGGCTGGTTCATCTGGTGGGAGGTTTCGAGTCACTTGTGTTCTTACATCTTCTACACCACCATTACCACCTATGTGCAGATCAACTGAAAGGGCTTTGATGTTCCTTGTAATTTTTGCTATCATAGAGCTTAGCAGAATGCCAAAGAGACATAACTCAGTTTTGGTTACCTGGATAAAGAGTATCCGATAACCGCCAACCAGGTTGTTTCAAACATTGACGTTCAATCGGTGCTTTGGCGGTAAATTAAGCTAACCGCTCATTTGGGCTTTCTGACCGTCAAGTTTTCGTTGGGTATGTGGCTTCTCTCTTTTGTTTGCGAGATTTTATGACTTGGTGCTCTCCGTGAATTGCTGTCTATTGCGTTACTTTTTAAAGTCTCCAAGTATTTTTTGGATAAAAGGTCTAGCTGATTTGATCACGTCGGATACGGATCAGCTGATCGACCAGCTGATCAGTCATCCACATAATCTAGTGGGATCCTCTATTTCGCAGCTGATAGCATGAGCTCTTTTTGTGTTTGTCTTGGTTCTTTTATGTTTTTGTATCCATTCAGTATGTAATGGAGAGCAATTAGTGAGCAGTGACACGCCTGACAATTACAGGAATCCCCACTATTGTAGTGCGAGTAACTTGGTGATAATGCTCTATCAATGTGGCAGTGCGGCAGTGCGGCAAAGTTTCTCGTCCAGGCTGTGTCCATTCCACTAATCCAAACAATAATCAAACTATATAGTTGCGGAGTTGAGTTCGGGGATTTCGACACGTCTCCCGCCCGCCGGAAAAAAAACGTTTGCGCAGCGGTTCTCCCACTTTTTCTCCTCATTAAGCGTCCATATTGATTGCTTTGTTAAAGGACAAGCTTATTCATAATTTACTGATAAAAAGTTGACTTCGAAAAATGTGTATTGTAAATATGGTTTGTAAATCAAAATGCTCCACCTTCGAACTCCCCGAATTTCCCCGACATCCTCCCGTATTCCCCCGTCACCTGTGCTGGCAGTTTTCGTCGACCAAGTATACGCGGACTTCACACAAACTTCGACGCCCCAGTAAAATGACCATATCGTTAAATCTCTTCAACCAGAGTCACCAATGAATGTCGTGTGTTGTTTTGATGCTAAAAAATACGCCGATAAAATCGCTCATATATTCGCGGTTAATCTGGTGTCTGCTGGGCGAAAAAAAACCCCACGAAAATGTGAAAATTTTGTTAGTATTTGCCTTCTGGACGGCCCTTCTGACATAGCACGGAACTATTTTTAAAACCAGACGGTGCTCTATTTTGAAATCAGAACTTTAAGGTCAATTTTACACCATGTATAAAAAGTATATTTCTACATTTATTTTCTACAAAATTGGATCGAATTTGGACAGGCGCGAAAAGGCAATGGAATTGCTTCAAGCTACCAACGCAGTCATTCTCGAACCGTCAACTTCCATTAAAAATTCATCTAGCCATATTTGCCTTATGTTTGCTTCTACCTTGCCAGAGAGTTATAATAGACAACACAAAACTTACAATCAACGCGCCTCGTGGGGACTTATGTTAACCGAAGGTTCCTAAAATAGCTTATAAACGTGGAGCCAGCCATATCAAACATACCCATGCCATCTCAAGCAGAAATACAATTGGCTGATTTATGTATTTCTACTTAGGGCTCTCTTCTAACTTAAGTCTCTATCAAAAAATAAGTCTTCACACGAGTGATTGTAAAACTTATTTTGAACTTATTTGAATTACACATAAAATTATTTGAAATAAACTCACGTTGCTTTTATGCACCATTCATGTGAAGTAGAACTATCTTCCAGTTCCCTCGAACATTTTACCTAACTGGAAATTTTGACGTATGTACGTGTTTTCGCCTTTTCAGCACATTGATGAACGATGAACAGGTCATCCTCGTTTGTGATACTGGATGAGTCTGTAAGAATGATTTTCAATTTTTATGCTTGGTTGTATTTAGGAGGACATGGGATCCTCAGGTAAGTGTTCTTCTTACTGTCAAGTCATTGGTCACACTTCAGTTGTACTGAGGTAACTCATTATACTTTGAGCGTGGGTCATATATTGTCTAGATTTCGACTTATATCTTGTTCAGTGTTTCTAACACATTTACTGGATTCACTCAGGTCACCTACGTTTACTTTAGCCTTTGCCACGGACTGTGTCGTATACTTTGGAAACTTCTTCATTCCAGGAAGCGAGGATCTCGTCGAATCGCTACTTGTCAAAAACGCATCTAAAGGACCTTGCGAAACTGCGGATGCATTGTCTACCTCACCTCTGCTACTGACACCGCAGTCCGATCTGGAATCTTCTTCATGGGCCGTCTTAGATGCGTCCAAAACTACATCCGAAACTACCCAAACACCAAAAGACACTTTTCTGTAAGCTCCTATGCTAGCCGCTCTTCGTTTATTCGCACTGCACTTACGCTGTCCCAGCTTCCATTATCCTGCTTCTCATTTCGATCTACACCCTCATTGCTAAATTATGTACAATCTTGCCAAGTTCTCCATTGAGCCCCTATTTCCAGATAAGTTGCTTGAGTACTGTATACGTTTGCTAAAGCCTTTCTTGGCGTCATCGTCGAGATTTAG